AGGTTCTAATCCGCCAACACCCGCTGCAAGAGGAACCTCGACCGCGGAAGGCCAAATGGCCACAGCTCCGGAGCATCACAAGGCAGGGGAACAGGCCTGGATACACACGACAGCGCACGAGGACGCAATATAGTTAGAGGAAGAGCAAGGGGACGAGGCAGGGGGAGAGGAAGAGGCAGAGGCGTACGAGGTGGTGGAACTGCGGCTACAGGGAGAAACTACGAAGACTCTTCCAAAGGATGGCAACTAAAAAAGCCGCGGCCTCATCCGGTAATGCTGGAACGGGAGTATTGTGATAACGTTTTATCAGCGCGTGCTCGATTGTTCGTCAGCTCAGCCGGAAAGTGGCAGTAGGTGGTGGGCAGTGGGAGCGTGCAGTGTGGTGAGTCCTGGGCAGTGCGGACGGAAGGTAAAAGTAAGGTACTACGTACGTTCCAGAGCTCCTCCTGAGCGTGGTGCCAAGCGAGGGGGGCGCGGGTGGAGAAGGTCGCGGCGGAGGACAATATAAGGACGGCGTGGACGTCGTGGCCATGCTTCTCACCGCCTACGCCCAGCTGCTCGCCGAGCTCAAGGGCATAGGGATTGGTGAGGAGTACACGGTGGGCGGCAGCGTGCGGAAGGGCGAGTGGGCGGAGGAGGCGACGGGGCAGGAGGCGGAGGAAGTAGTGCAGAGGGCCAGAACGCTGGTGGCAGGCGTGGCGGAGATGGAGCGGTTGGGGACGTGGGCGGGGCTCAGACCTATGCGGAAGGAAGGCGGGGCGAGGATGGAGGTGCAGGAAGAGGGGCTCGGGGGGGGGGAGATGACGGTGGTGGCGAATTATGGGCATGGCGGGAGCGGGGTGACGCTGTGCTAGCGGTGTGCGGAGGAGGTGTTAAGGATTGTGGCGGGGCTTGTCGGGACGAGGGATGGGTGCGGGGGGACGCAGTCAGGTGGACGGCGGGTTGGTGAGGAGGCCGTGCGTGAGCGAGGCGTGGACCAGGGCGCAGTCGCGCGTGGGGTCTTGCGTGCACTGAAAGAGGAGGAGGCAGTCGCAGTGGGCAGCGGCGGACGCGCGGGAGGGGCTTTGCAGACGCAGGTTGCGGCGGCGCGGGGTGAGTAAGGCTAGGACCGGGGCGGGAGGAGGAGGCGGCGCGAGGGGCGGAGGAGGTCATGATGCAGGAGCCGGATCTCGTCCTCGCAGAGGCCGCCGAGATGAAGGACCTGTTCCAGACCGCGTACAAGGCCCTCGCCTAGCAGCGTCTGCCCCTGCACGTCGTCACCTTCTTCGACTCGGTCGACCCCGCCGTCCTGTCCTGGGTCGTCGCCCCCTCCGCCTATCACCCGACCTGCCACTCTGCAACCTCAACTCCTTCCATCCCCGCCTGGCTTCCACTGATTCCATTGCTGCGGGCACTTAAGAAGCGACGTCCTTCCCACACCCAATCCGTCTCGGTGGAGCATTTAATGAATGCGTTGGAACGGAGGGACGGGGAGGAGAAGAGGTTGACGGCGCACGTGGAGGGGAAAAGAAATGATGGCGGAGGAGAGACTGAGGGTGGTGACTAGAGGGAGGTATACAGAGTCATCAGAAGTACACTATAGTCCGTGCAGCACGGCGAAAATTTCAAGACTTCGACAGCTTCTTGTGCCATGTCGTAGGATCCAATCAGCATGCTTTGAAGTTCTAACGGCTTTGTGCCGTGTGAAGGACAGCTTAAAGCGTTAAGGTGGAAAATCGTTTCGGAACAGGGGAACTACAATGCCTCAAAGTAATTGGACACTGTAGTGTATTTTTCAGAGCTACAGTAGGGATATGACTCTCAGTCATTCCTCCCTCACGTCGTTGGCCAACGGCACCTCCCCTTTTGCTCAGTGGTCATCACAAGGGAAGTGGCGAACGGAGGGCAGAGATAGGGAGGGAGGGGGAGGAGGAAGGCGGGCTGGGAGCGAGCGTGGACTGCTGGGACGAGGGCATCGCAGCGGACGAGAGGGAAGGTTGACTGATGGTGATGAGGGGGGTGCGGGAGCCGGACCGCGATGGACGGGAAGGAGGGAGTACGGAGAAGGCGGGGCGAGATGAGGGTGGCAGAGATGGCGGAGATGGAGCGGGGGCGTTTGAGCAGGGCATTGGGGTCGGCCGAGGGGGCAGCTTGGTCAAGAAGAGGCGGGCAGGCGGGGAAGAGGGGACGATAGCAAAAAGGGTTGAACGACGGCGCGCGAAAAAGGCGCTGCGACGGGAAAAACGCGCTGTGACAGGAAAACGCGCTGCGTCGGGACAAAGGCGCTGCGACGGGAAAAACGCGCTGCGACGGGAAAAACGCGCTGCGACGGGAAAAACGCGCTGCGACGCAATTGACGGCAAAAAGGGGTTGAACAAGTACACGTGTAGGGGTTGTCTACTGGCTACGAGTGCAGACACGTTCCGAGTGCAGATATGAGCTCCGAGGCTTGCCGAGGGCATCATATCGCAGCAGGAGGCACCCAGTAGACAATATGCTTGTGTACCGGCTGCTACAGGGACTGTCAGCCATTTTAATTATAGTGAGTTCGAGTAAAATAATTTTACAGTCACGGCAGCCTGCCGACAAATGCGTAAACACTATATTAACACTAATGATCAAGCCAACAATAATTGTTGCAACATCAATAATTGTTGGCTTGATCATAATAGTGTTAATATAATGATAATCAAGCCAACAATAATTATATACAATGATATAATGATCAACCCCTACTTGTCGGCAGGCTCTGTGCACCAGTTTGAGATGGTGCTGTGCGCTGCTGTTTCCTCTCACTTATCTTTGTTCGATAGCAGAGGGGCAGAAGTGCGGGTGAGACAATGGCCAATAGGATGATAGGAGGACCCACTCCCGACACATCCCGCCCCCCGTTGACACATCCAGCTAGTGGCACCCCCACCAGCCTTTCCGCACTCCCCACCCCCCTTTCCGCACTCCCCACCCGAATCACCCGCCCCACCCAAAATCACTCGTCCCACTCGTCCTATTTAAATCACCCGGAGCAATGTAGTTCCTTCCTTCTTTTCCGTCTCCACTCTGCCATCCTCACCGCCCTCGATACAACTGGTCCAACCTCAACCGACAACAAGCACCATCCATCCACTGAACACCACCCTTCTTCGCCATGCTCGACTACACTAACCCCACGTCCCGTCCCCTCGCCCGCACCTGCTTTCTCTTCGTCTTGACCCTCACACTCTCGCTCACCGCACACTCGTCCGAAGCCATGCCGTTGCCCTCACCCGCACCGCCTAACCTTCCAGCCCTGCCGACGGCCGACCCCAATCACGAGCTACCGTGGCAATCGAACTATTCCTTTCTCGCCTTGTGTATGTTCGTAATTGTCAACGTCATCTACCTCGTCCGATGCGTCATTGATTGTTGTTGCAATTGTCCCACAGACCTCCTTCGCTCCTCGACCTCGCCAGACAACCATGACCTTCCGCTGCATATGGCGCATTTGACAGAGGCGGAGGATGCAAGTAGAGGTGTGTCCTCCATTGTCGAAGAGACCGTTTCTTCTGTCAACCACCGAGTCACACTTTCGTCGAGCACAGTCTAGGCAACGAGACGTTCAGACGTCATGTCTGTGAGCTGAATGTGTAGGTCTATTTTTCTGTTTCAATTTCTTGATGCAATGCCCCGACCTCGGCACACACATTTGGTTTGAAAATGTTTTCTTGGACGTGCATCGAGTTTTGTATCGGTTTTCCACAAGATTTGCTAAAATACGATGTCAGCTGACCAGCATCGTTTGGGCATGGATAAATGGCGTTCGCTTTGTTTGGCAGCTGCGTCAAGATTTTGGATGCGTTTGATCCGGCTTCCTTCCGTCTCCACGAACCCGTCTTCTGTATTCCAGGGGGGAGGGTCGCCTTGTTAGGCTAGTGTCTATCGGACCACTGTCCTCATGTGAGGACATTTGTCCTCATATGAGGACGAGGACAGTATTCGACCTATTTTATTCTTGACTTCCCTGACAAGAAAGAAAATGATACCCGCTCCACCGTACTTGAATTCTGACTTGGGACCAGAAAGAACTTTGTGAGAATTGCATGTTCTTGATGGTCGTTTTAGATATGTCTGGAAAAGAAGCCTTTTTAAACCACCCTAAAACCGCATGTAAAATAACTTGGAAACCAAAAACACCAGTTGAAAAAGGCAACTTGGTACTCAATCTGCATTATATTCTTAAGCTTTTTGCGTATTCAAAGCTGCTATCCCGGTGTTCTGCAAGATTGCCGAAAACAAGCACGTGAAGGAAATAGTGCTCAAGGTAGCTTTTTGAATGTTCAATTTAATTTATATATTTTTGCAAAAAAAGAGCTGTCCTCATATGAGGACATCGCCGGCCTCATATGACAATGATGATGAGAACGAGCCCCTGTTGACAGGGGTGAACAGGGGTGTGACATCACTCACGACACTAGATCGCTCCCAAACAGCAAGGTAGGTGAGGTTTACCTTCGTTATCGCAACCCTACTTTGTCCCAAATTTTCCTGGGTTGCCCATACAGTAAATTACTGCGCATCTGCGCATCTACGCCTGAACAGCATTGCTGGCAACCCGTGCCACGGTCATTTCGCCAATTCCCGCTCTCCCTTCTCGCCTCCCTTCTCGCCTTCATTCTCGCCTTCACCGGCCCACCCCACCCCACCTCACTCACCTCACACACCCCCCTATTTAAACCCGGAGCAATGTAGTTGCTTCCTTTTTTTTCAGTCTTCAGTCGGTCATCTTCACGATTTCGTTACTTAAATACGGCCAGAACAATGAAATACTCGCATTTGAATCTCCAACATTTACCAAGACGGGGCTTTTCCTGAAAATGTGATTAAAAATCGATGTTTTTTTAGTGGTCACATATGACCACTAACCCCCAACAGGGCAGCGGATATTGATGATGGAAATACCGTTCAAATTGCCTTGCGAAAATGCGGTGAGTCTTTCACGGGCGCTGGTCCGCGGACTAAATTTTGCCTCGAAAATCAATGAATGTTTAGGCGCAGTTATCCATTCTCTGAATGACGGAATGTGTTCCACATGGGATGAGAATGGTACGGCTCGCAGGATTGGCTCGCACGAGCCTGCCGGTGGGAATGGTATGATACGCAGTTATCCATTCTCTGAATTGGCTCGCACGAGCCAATACTTTAGCAGGTCGCATTGCTGGCATAACACGAGCCACCGCCATTCGTTTAAAATAGCGATAGAAAGATAAAGGGAGGAAGGGGCGGCAGCAATGTTTCTTCCTACTCCACCACAATGTTTCACCCTTCTTCCTCCTCCCGAAATTGCCAACAACTTCACACACTCGCAACAGCGCGCGGCCGGGGAAGTGCGCCTGACGGCCTGTCGGCCAATCATTGCGCATGATGCGCAATGATTGGCCGATTGCGCATGACGCATGATGCGCACATCGTGGCCGTGAGGCCGCCATATATATGGGGTTTTAGCGGTGTCAGGGGCCTACAGTGGATAGGGGTTTATATAAGTACATTTTTGGTTTTCGCGATACCTTAACATTGTTCGGAAGAATTTCTTTCTTACCTTACCATTCTTCCTCCGCCCACCCTCCGCACCCCCTCCCACACGCGGCACCCGAATCATCCGTCCCACCCGTTCTATTTAAATTACCCGGAGCAATGTAGTTGCTTCTTTCTTTTCCGTCTCCACTCTGCCATCCCCACCGCCCTCGATACAACTGGTCCAACCTCAACCGACAACAAGCACCATCCATCCACTGAACACCACCCTTGTTTGCCATGATCGACTGCACTAACCCCACGTCCCGTTGCCTCGTCCGCTCCGGTTTTCTCCTCGCCGCAACTCTAACACTCTCGCTCACCGCACACTCGTCCGAAGCCATGCCGCTGCCCTCACCCGCACCGCCTAGCCTTCCAGCCCTGCCGACTGCCGATCCCAATCACGAGCTACCGTGGGGATCAAACTATTCCTTTCTCACCTTGTGTATGGTCGTAACTGTCAACGTCGTGTACCTCGTCCGATGGGTCGTTGATTGGTGTTGTAACTGTCCCACGCACCCCCTTCGCTCCTCAACTTTGCCAGACAACCGCGACCTCCACCGCTCTTCAACCTCGCCAGACAACCACGACCTCCTCCGCTCTTCAACTTCGCCAGACAACCACGTCCTTCCGCCGGCTATGGCGCATTCGACAAGGGCGGAGGCCAGTAGAAGTGTGTCCTCCACTGTCGAAGAGACCGTTTCTTCCGTCAACCGCCGAGTCACTTCCGTCGAGCACGTAGTCTAGGGAACGAGACGTTTAGATGCCATGTCCGTGAGCTCAATGGGTAGGTCTATTTTTTTGTTTCTTTTTGTTGATGCTATGCCCCGACCCCAGTACACCCATCATCCCTTGTAAATGTTTTCTTGGACGTGCATCGAGTTTTGCATCGGTTTTCCACGAGATTTGGTAAAATACGATTGTAGCTGACCAGTATCGTTTGGGCATGGATAAGTGGCGTTGAAGAAAATTGCAGAATTCTTCCAGACGTAAACCCTGAATTATCTCTGTCCCGTGGCAATACGTGTGTAGCAACGAGTATTGTGTAGAAGTTTGCCATGTTGATCTGGGCGGCGCGGAACGGGCAAAGAAGGAGGTAGCAAACGGAGGGGAGAGATAGGGGAGGGAGAGGAGGAGGAAGGCGGGCTGGGAGCGAGCGTGAACTGCTGGGACGAATGCGTCGCAGCGGACGAGAGCGAAGGTTGACTGACGCGTCCCACGGCGGGTTCAGGGTGAGGGCTCGGGTGAGGTTGGTGAGGATTTGGGTGAGGTCAGTGAATATTTGGGTGAAGTTGGTGTTGATTTGAGTGAGGCGGGTGATGTCGCCGGTGAGGCGATCGTAGGGAAGAGGCGGGGGATGAAGAGAAAAAAGACTTGAAGGATCTTGAATAAAACGAGTCGTCCTGTTCCTACAGGGATAACGCCATGGCAGCAGGGGCCTTGGGGGATTGGACGTTCGAAAGGCGCGGCTGTGCGCGGGAACCTGCAGTCGACTGAAATGGACAAAAACAGTGAGAAACTCGGAGACGAGGACTAAAGGGGAGGAGCCTGATGGCAATGATAAGGACAAGGTGGTTGATAGCGCCCCACGGAACAACGACGGGAGAAAGTACTGCCAACGAGGAGAGACGTCGGGCTAATCGGGCTAATCGCGATCACTCACTCTAATCCAGATTTCCAGACGGCAATGGGTGCATACTTGTACAGTAGTATGCACTGTAGTAATATGATAACACTGTATCATAACATATCACAACTGAATATATATAGCCGCCGACGACGGCGAGACTCGAGAGTAAAGCAGACCAAGGAAGCTTGACACTACATGCACCGTGTGACACGTGGTTGGGACCGGTGTAAGTAATTGGAAGTTTAAGTTAGTAATTGTAGACCTCGCGCAAAAAGAGTATAAATGCGGTGGTTTTCGGTCGTCCTGTACGGCCGAGACGGAGAGAGACATCACATCACAAAAAAAAACACACACGGGTAGGACACGGGACGACGTACCCCGTTTCCACCCTAACATGGTACTCTTGTGGAGGGCCGACGCCAACAGTCAGGCGGGCCCCGCTTCCCTGGTGTTCGATGGTAAGCACGAGGCAGATGTCGCCAAGTTCTTCTTTGTCTACGAAAACGTCGTAATGAAAGGCAAGTCCGACGAAGACAAAGCCGGAGAGCTACTGTGCTACCTGCAAGGGGAGGCTTTCGACTACTACTATGAAACCTACAGCCAAGACGGTGGACTGAACGAGGCGGCCGGCGACTACCAAGCCGTCAAGAAGGCATTGCTCGACCGTTTCGAGCCAGTCCCTGAACCGGAAGAAAACATCAGGCTCGCAGTCGCGAGTAGGTTGGACGGCAACGACGTGCTCGCGTCGTTAAACGAGATGGATCGCCGCTTCGATAAAGCAGCTTTCAACCCCGAAGCCAAGTTCGGACTACTCCGGAACGCGGTCATGGAGCACACCGACGTGTCACAGTTCGTCTTGTATAGGGCACCTACCTCGTACGGGGAGCTCAAGAAGGCCGTTAAGGACTTCGTGTCTGGCCGCAAAGCCTTTATGGCTGCACAAAATGCTAGGCAACCTCAGCCTCCGGCGCCTAGGCGCATTCTACAGAGACCGGACACACGCCAGGAGCCGGACAAGATCGAAAAGAAAGTGGACGTGCTAGCAGAACGGCTAGCAGAACTTTCTTTGTTGGTAAAGAAGAATCAGACAGCAGATCAAGGTGGCCAGGTCCGAACCTGCTCATTCTGCAGGGAACCGGGGCATGGAGCCACCCGATGCCCTTCTAATCCGCGCCGAGACACTCGTTGTTCGAATTGTGGGAAGCTTGGTCATGAAAAGGAGACGTGCTGGACCAGGCTTAGAACGGCACTGCCGAGGGCAGGAGCCACGATTCAGTCCACAGCACCTGCGACAGAAGGTGCAGGGAATGCCCAGGTCACCTATATTGACGAGGCGAACGACGGAGAAGTCGTGGCCGTCACAAAGAGAAACGCAGACGGGGAACCTCTTCCCAAGCAGCACAAAACCCGGGAGGAGATGTCCATTCCCAGGCTTCTGAACCCGCCTGTACCATTTGAGATGCAAAAGAGGGCTCTGCCACTTCAGGCGGGGCCAAGGAGGTCCCACCAGAGGAAGAAGGCGAAGAAAGTGACCAGGAAAACATCCCTCCAGGAGTATGTGAGGAAGTATAATGTCGTTTCGGAGCTTGCAAACGCATCTTCCGGACTCACTTTCGGACAGCTTGTTCGTGGCGATGCGGAAGTGGCGAAGAAGGAGATACGCCGCTTGTTTGCGAAACAAAGAGTCCGTGGTCGTGCTTTCGCAGGTCATGCCGATACGAAGTCTCGAAGGCTGCGGCTGGTAACTGTGAAGGTTTATGGGACGGAAGCTCAAGCCCTGTTAGATTCTGGGGCCGTACCGAACATAATCTCGCCAAAATTGGCGTCTAAGCTTTGCCTCTCCCCGCAACCGACTGAGAAGCATATCACGGTGGCAGATGGTGCTAATGCGCCCTGCCTGGGATCGCTTCATCAGATACCAACATCGTTTGGTGAACTTATCGTGAAGTTGGACTTCTTAGTCGTGAAAGGATCGCCGTTCGACCTGATCATAGGGCTTCCGACCCTTGAGGGACTACAGGCATGCATCGATCTTGGTAAGCAACATGTGCAGATGACAGTAGGTGAGAATACCACCAGACTAGGCCTCAACATGGATGTGGAACACGTTTCACGGAGTGCAGCCTCAACTGATAGTGAGGATTTCACCTCTGATTCTGAGGCTGTACCCGGCTCGTCTACGACAAGCGACAATGAATTTGTCTTGGCGACTCTTGACCAGCCACCATTTGAACCTGATTTGGGACTCACCAAGCAACCGGATGGAGTCGAAGATGAATTGGATGGTCTTCCTGAACTAGTGAAAGAGGGCCTAAAGTCCGACTCGGAAAACGCGAAAGGAGATGGCAGAGTAGACGAAGAAGGCCCGGAACGGCTTCAAGTAGCCCTTCTCGGGGAGAAATTGCGCCACCTGGCTTTCGAGGCCAGGGAGAGCATTGTGAATTCTATCCAGAACTCAGGGATCGTAGCTTGGTCACTCGACGATTTAAGACCGGCAGATGTTCCGGTGTCTCACTCGTTTGAGCTAGAAGATCCAAGCCCCATTACTCACCCTGCACGTAGGCTTCCGCCACGCCACAATGAAGTGGTACGTGAGGAGCTTCGTAAGATGTTGGAGGCGGGAATAATAACCCCCTCCATTTCGGCCTGGTCCTTTCCTATCGTTATCGCATCGAAGAAAGACGGAAAACCCAGGTTCTGTGTAGATTACCGCACCCTCAATCGCAAAATGAAAGCCGATCGTTGGCCCTTGCCAAAGATCGAGGAGATCTTCGATGATTTAGAGGGGAGCTCGGTCTTCACAACGCTTGACTTGTTCTCGGGGTATTGGCAAGTCCGGATGGCTGAGAACTGCAAAGAGAAGACGACTTTCGTCTGCCGTTTTGGGACGTTTCAGTTCGAGGTGATGCCGTTCGGGTTAATGAACGCCCCCTCTACATTCCAAAGGATGATGGACCAGCTTTTCCAAAGGCTTAGCTTCGTTAGAGTTTACTTAGACGACGTAGTCGTCTTCTCGAAGTCCGTTGAAGAGCACACTTCACACTTACGTGAAGTCTGCAAGGTGATTGCTACGAGCGGGCTGAAGCTTAAGATCTCAAAATGCAGCTTTGCACAGTCCCAAACGCGACTGCTTGGACACATAGTCACCGGAGATGGCGTCAAAGTAGACCCCGAAAAGGTCAGCGCTATTAAGAGGGAGAAGGAGCCGTCCAATGCGACAGGGCTTCGTAGCTTCCTTGGTCTGGCGGGATACTACCGCCGCTTCATTCCCAAGTTCGCCGAGATCTCTGCTCCGTTACATGAGGCCACGTCTACTAAACGGACTTTTAAGTGGACGGCGGAGATGCAGGAGGCATTCGAGAAGCTTAAGCTCAAGTTGACCTCCCCGCCAGTCTTGGCGTTTCCGGACTTCGAACAACCTTTTGTCGTGGAGACTGATGCATCCTCGGTCGCCGTCGGAGCTGTTATGGCCCAACGAAAAGAGGACAGGAAAGTCCACCCGATCCAGTACGCAAGTCGCACGATGACGTCAGCCGAGAGGAAGTACTCCGCCTGTGAGCGAGAGGCCCTGGCTGTGATCTTCGATTTGAAGAAGTTCCGAGTTTACCTGCTTTCAACACAAAAGTTCACGCTAATAACAGACCACCAAGCCCTGCAGTATGCCTTTAAGAAGAAAGACATTCACGGGAGGTTGGCAAGGTGGATGGACTTCCTAGCAGAATACGAATTCGAAATTAAGTACCGCCCGGGAGGAAAGAACGGTGCAGCTGACTTCCTGTCCCGCCTGAAAGCCAAGGGCGAGGATGGAGTCGACTCTGACGACGAGGGAGATCTTGTCTGCAGTGTTTCGGATCCTCTAGAGGCGCAAATGGAGTGGGAACCCCATCTTATTGACATTTCAAGGCACCTGGCGGGTATTGATATGAGGGAAGTGGATGTTCGTCGACGTCGGCTCAACCGCCGAAGCGCCAAACGTTTCATGGCTTGTAATGGACAACTGTTCCGTAGGACCAACAATGGATTACGCGCTATCCCGCGTATAGGGGCTCGCAGAAGGATCATTAGAGCCTTTCACGACGAAATAGGCCATTGGGATCTGCAAACGACGAAGAGATTCGTCTTGGACCGATATTGGTGGCCTGCCGTCCACCGAGACGTGAACGACTACGTTCGGGGTTGTGACGGTTGCCAGAAAGCCACACCAATTCCGAAGTACAAGACCACCCTTCGATTTCCCATGACTTCGTTATTTGATACATACTCTATCGATTTTGCGGGACAATTGCCTCGTACGCCCTCTGGACGGAGGTACATCCTTATTGCCGTTGAGCACCTGACTGGCTGGCCAATTGCGAAGGCCACCGTCACCTCGACGGCAGAGGAGGTGCTGGAGTTCGTGAAAGAAGAGATAATCCACTGTTTTGGGTTACCACGTGTCGTTGTCTCGGACAACGCTACTTGTTTCACAGCGTCGGTCCTGAATGCCTTCATGGCACGAAACGGGATTAAGTGGAAGACAGTGCTCGCCTATGCACCTATGTCAAACGGACGGGCGGAGCGGATGGTCGGCACATTGAAGAGAGCAGTCCGTAAGATGATTCTCGGTGCCTCGCCTACAATTGTTGAGTGGGACGATGCTTTACGTCAAGTCCTATATGGATACCGTCGCAGGAGGATGGCGGTGGGATTGTCCCCGTTCGAGCTGCTTTATGGGGTGTTGCCCAGGATGGCGCCTGGAGACCAAAAGCCTCTATTTGGAGTCTCCGAGATCCGCCACCGGCAAATGGAACTCTTGCAAGCCAGGGCGATGCGGGCAACAAGAATAATCGGGCGCAGAGCTGCAACCACATTAACAGACGGTCGCGAAGCAACTTTCAATGTGGGCGACGAAGTGTTGGTCGCAAAAGGGGCTGCCCTCGGGCCCATGCAGAAATGGCCTATCGCCTTGTCGAAGTTCTATGGCCCATGCCGAGTTGCTGGTGTGCGCCACCCGCGGTACACCCTAGTGTCGCCGCATCAACGCTACTCGAGAAGGGAGATACATGCCAGAAGGCTGGTCCTCTACAGGAGGCAACCGTTGCACCTTCAGTGAGGCAAATGATTAGGGATTTTTACGCTTTGAATTGAAAGATAGTGAAATGCATATGAAGTACTGATTGCTTGCTACAAGTAGATAGAGAGTGGGTCATGGAGACAATGGGAATCACCAATGACCTCTAATGCTGAATGGAACTTCCCGAACCCCGAATCGCGGCTTTCTTGTGCGCTCTGCGGCTGCTTGCGCGTCCAATTCTGCTCCGTTTCTTCTTGGAAGGGGTGACGACGAGAACTTGGCGCAGTTCGGAGACGCCAACGAAGATCCCGTCGGCTCCAACGCATGCTTTGACCGCGCCGGCGCAGAGCCGAAGCGGAAACCCCTCCATACAATCAAGTACGATGGAATGTATGGTCGAGACGCAGATGCTGTGCATTATGTGGGGCAAGCCTTCTAAAGTCGCGACATAGACACCCGGGTCGAGCCTCAAGAGGAGTCCGAGAGATGGACTACGAAGACCCGACCCGCGAAGAGCGACTTCATCTTGATTAAGGTGTTTTCCAGCGTCATGGAAATCTCGGATTCAACGCGACGGAGAGCCGGTCCTCTCAAAGAGGAGGCTGTTGCGAACTAAAATATCCCAGTACTTGACGGCAAGGTTTGGAGACCCTAGTAGTTGGAGACCGTTGCAGACGGCGGCGGAGATGCACATGTCACTATTATCTCGGAACCGCACGGTCCCGTGTGTGGAAACGCGGTAGATCGGAGTCCGAGGATTGACCGCCCTGGAACGACCATGGATCATCTTCAGACTCCTGCTCTTTTGATCGGTGCAAAAACGATCAATACTTAAGAAGGCACTAATTCGGTCTCTCCCACCAAACTGGAAGAGATCGTCAACAATCTTGTGAGTTGTACTATTCCCGGTTCCGGAAATTGCTAGAGTGTATAGCAAAATACGGTGAGGAAGGTTGGTTGCGGCATCGACGCCATAGTACGTGTTGTCAACGTCGAGATAGATGGACTCAATGTTCCACTCACCGTCGCCGATAATACAGTACTGGTTTGTGTCCGACAACGACTCTGTGAGACCAAGACGCCATATCTCTTCGAGAGAGACCTCTTCATCTGGCTTGCGGTGGAGCAGGGCGGTAATGTGATCTCCTAGAAGGCTGTTGAACTCTTGTTCTGTTACAGCGTAACGGCGATGCCCGCTGGCCACCCAAATGTGGAACATGGAGCCCGTCTTGGAAACCTTGGTTACATCTGTTCGAGATGAGAGCTCGAACATTAAGTGGTCGCGGCTGGCGAAGCGTGCAGCTTTCAGAGCCAGATGCTTCCGCGGACGCTTACCTCCTGTGCTCTTCGCCGCTGTCTGCTTGGTCCTCGCCATCGTATTACGCTATGAGGGGAGCCAAAGAGGGCACACGGGGACTGAAACCCCACCTGCGTGCCTCTCGATCTGGCGGTAGACAGAAGGACTAAACTACGACGAGGACCACGGAGGCAACGCGGAAGAGCGGCGAGAGCTAAGCAGCGCAGGAAGCAGGAGGCCGAAAGAGCTAAACCGAAGCTGGGGTGGAGCGAGAAAGGCGAACGGAGAGCGACGGCAGATACCACAGGAAGGGAAGGGTGGTCCGAGCCCCAGGTCTGTGTTGATATAGGCTGGAGGGTGAAAAAAAAATCAAAATCAAAGCCAAAATTTGAGTGGCCGGGGCCCGTGGCCCCGCCTAAGTGGGGGGTTGTGTGACACGTGGTTGGGACCGGTGTAAGTAATTGGAAGTTTAAGTTAGTAACTGTAGACCTCGCGCAAAAAGAGTATAAATGCGGTGGTTTTCGGTCGTCCTGTACGGCCGAGACGGAGAGAGACATCACATCACAAAAAAAACACACACGGGTAGGACACGGGACGACGTACTCCGTTTCCACCCTAACACACCGTCTGGAAATCCTAGGTTTCCAGATACCGTACCGTTGCCCTACCCTTCGGGTACTACCCTGTTGGGGTGAAAACGGGGTACCTCGTCCCGTGTCTTACCCGTGCGTGTTTTATTGTGATGTGATGTGTCCCTGTCTGCCTCTGTGGTCTCGGCCGTACAGGACGACCGAAAACCACCGCATTTATACTCTTTTTGCGCGCGGTCTACAATTACTAACTTAAACTTCCAATTACTTACACCGGTCCCAACCACGTGTCACACAACCCCCCACTTAGGCGGGGCCACGGGCCCCGGCCACTCAAATTTTGGCTTTGATTTTGATTTTTTTTTCACCCTCCAGCCTATATCAACACAGACCTGGGGCTCGGACCACCCTTCCCTTCCTGTGGTATCTGCCGTCGCTCTCCGTTCGCCTTTCTCGCTCCACCCCAGCTTCGGTTTAGCTCTTTCGGCCTCCTGCTTCCTGCGCTGCTTAGCTCTCGCCGCTCTTCCGCGTTGCCTCCGTGGTCCTCGTCGTAGTTTAGTCCTTCTGTCTACCGCCAGATCGAGAGGCACGCAGGTGGGGTTTCAGTCCCCGTGTGCCCTCTTTGGCTCCCCTTCTAGCGTAATACGATGGCGAGGACCAAGCAGACAGCGGCGAAGAGCACGGGAGGTAAGCGTCCGCAGAAGCATCTCGCTCTGAAAGCTGCGCGCTTCGCCAGCCGCGACCACTTAATGTTCGAGCTTTCATCGCGAACAGATGTAACCACGGTTTCCAAGACGGGTTCCATGTTCCACATTTGGGTGGCCAGCGGGCATCGCCGTTACGCCGTAACAAAACAAGAGTTCAAAAGCCTTCTAGGAGATCATATTACCGCCCTGCTCCACTGCAAGCCAGATGAAGAGGTCTCTCTCGAAGAGATATGGCGTCTTGGTCTCACAGAGTCGTTGTCGGACACAAACCAGTACTGTATTATCGGCGACGGTGAGTGGATTATTGAGTCCATCTATCTCGACGTTGACAACACGTACTATGGCGTCGACGCCGCAACCAACCTTCCTCACCGTATTTTGCTATACACTCTAGCAATTTCCGGAACTGGGAATAGTACAACTCACAAGATTGTTGACGATCTCTTCCAGTTTGGTGGGAGACACCGAATTAGTGCTTTCTTAAGTATTGATCGTTTTTGCACCGATCAAAAGGGCAGGAGTCTGAAGATGATACATGGTCGTTCCAGGGCGGTCAATCCTCGGACTCCGATCTACCGCGTTTCCACACACGGGACCGTGCGGTTCCGAGATAATAGTGACATGTGCATCTCCGCCGCCGTCTGCAACGGTCTCCAACTACTAGGGTCTTCGAACCTTGCCGTCAAGTACTGGGATCTTTTAGTCCGCAACAGCCTCCTCTTCGAGAGGGACCGGCTCTCCGTCGCGTCGAATCCGAGATTTCCATGACGCTGGAAAACACCTTAATCAAGATGAAGTCGCTCTCCGCGGGTCGCTTCTTCGTAGTCCATCTCTCGGACTCCTCCTGAGGCTTGACCCGGGTGTCTATGTCGCGACTTTAGAAGGCTTGCCCCACATAATGCACAGCATCTGCGTCTCGACCATACATTCCATTGTACTTGATTGTATGGAGGGGTTTCCGCTTCGGCTCTGCGCCGGCGCGGTCAAAGCATGCGTTGGAGCAGACGGGATCTTCGTTGGCGTCTCCGAACTGCGCCAAGTTCTCGTCGTCACCCCTTCCAAGAAGAAACGGAGCAGAATTGGACGCGCAAGCAGCCGCAGAGCACACAAGAAAGCCGCGATTTGGGGATCGGGAAGTTCTATTCAGCATTAGAGGTCATTGGTGATTCCCATTGTCTCCATGACCCACTCTCTATCTACTCGTAGCAAGTAATCAGCACTTCATATGCATTTCACTATCTTTCAATTCAAAGAGTAAAATCCCTAGTCATTTGCCTCACTGAAGGTGCCACGGTTGCCTCTTGTAGAGGACCAGCCTTCTGGCATGTATCTCCCTTCTCGAGTAGCGTTGATGCGGCGACACTAGGGTGTACCGCGGATGGCGCGCACGAGCAACTCGGCATGGGCCATAGAACTTCGACAAGGCGATAGGCCATTTCTGCATGGGCCCGAGGGCAGCCTCTTTTGCGACCAACACTTCGTCGCCCACATTGAAAGTTGCTTCGCAACCGTCTGTTAATGTGGTTGCAGCTCTGCGCCCGATTATTCTTGTTGCCCGCATCGCCCTGGCTTGCAAGAGTTCCATTTGCCGGTGGCGGATCTCGGAGACTCCAAATAGAGGCTTTTGGTCTCCAGGCGCCATCCTGGGCAACACCCCATAAAGCAGCTCGAACGGGGACAATCCCACCGCCATCCTCCTGCGACGGTATCCATATAGGACTTGACGTAAAGCATCGTCCCACTCAACAATTGTAGGCGAGGCACCGAGAATCATCTTACGGACTGCTCTCTTCAATGTGCCGACCATCCGCTCTGCCCGTCCGTTTGACATAGGCGCATAGGCGAGCACTGTCTTCCACTTAATCCCGTTTCGTGCCATGAAGGTATTCAGGACCGACGCTGTGAAACAAGTAGCGTTGTCCGAGACAACGACACGTGGTAACCCAAAACAGTGAATTATCTCCTCTTTCACGAACTTCAGCACCTCCTCTGCCGTCGAGGTGACGGTGGCCTTCGCAATTGGCCAGCCAGTCAGGTGCTCAACGGCAATAAGGATGTACCTCCGTCCAGAGGGCGTACGAGGCAATTGTCCCGCAAAATCGATAGAGTATGTATCAAATAACGAAGTCATGGGAAATCGAAGGGTGGTCTTGTACTTCGGAATTGGTGTGGCTTTCTGGCAACCGTCACAACCCCGAACGTAGTCGTTCACGTCTCGGTGGACGGCAGGCCACCAATATCGGTCCAAGACGAATCTCTTCGTCGTTTGCAGATCCCAATGGCCTATTTCGTCGTGAAAGGCTCTAATGATCCTTCTGCGAGCCCCTATACGCGGGATAGCGCGTAATCCATTGTTGGTCCTACGGAACAGTTGTCCATTACAAGCCATGAAACGTTTGGCGCTTCGGCGGTTGAGCCGACGTCGACGAACATCCACTTCCCTCATATCAATACCCGCCAGGTGCCTTGAAATGTCAATAAGATGGGGTTCCCACTCCATTTGCGCCTCTAGAGGATCCGAAACACTGCAGACAAGATCTCCCTCGTCGTCAGAGTCGACTCCATCCTCGCCCTTGGCTTTCAGGCGGGACAGGAAGTCAGCTCCACCGTTCTTTCCTCCCGGGCGGTACTTAATTTCGAATTCGTATTCTGCTAGGAAGTCCATTCACCTTGCCAACCTCCCGTGAATGTCTTTCTTCTTAAAGGCATACTGCAGGGCTTGGTGGTCTGTTATTAGCGTGAACTTTTGTGTTGAAAGCAGGTAAACTCGGAACTTCTTCAAATCGAAGATCACAGCCAGGGCCTCTCGCTCACAGGCGGAGTACTTCCTCTCGGCTGACGTCATCGTGCGACTTGCGTACTGGATCGGGTGGACTTTCCTGTCCTCTTTTCGTTGGGCCATAACAGCTCCGACGGCGACCGAGGATGCATCAGTCTCCACGACAAAAAGTTGTTCGAAGTACGCAAACGCCAAGACTGGCGAGGAGGTTAACTTGAGCTCAAGCTTCTCGAATGCCTCCTTCATCTCCGCCGTCCACTTAAAAGTCCGTTTAGTAGACGTGGCCTCATGTAACGGAGCAGAGATCTCGGCAAACTTAGGAATGAAGCGGCGGTAGTATCCCGCCAGACCACGGAAGCTACGAAGCCCTGTCGCATTCGACGGCTCCTTCTTCCTCTTAATGGCGCTGACCTTTTCGGGGTCCACTTTGACGCCATCTCCGGTGACTATGTGTCCAAGCAGTCGCGTTTGGGACTGTGCGAAGCTGCATTTTGAGATCTTAAGCTTCAGCCCGCTCGTAGCAATCACCTTGCAGACTTCACGTAAGTGTGAAGTGTGCTCTTCAACGGACTTCGAGAAGACGACTACGTCGTCTAAGTAAACTCTAACGAAGCTAAGCCTTTGGAAAAGCTGGTCCATCATCCTTTGGAATGTGGGGGGCGTTCATTAACCCGAATGGCATCACCTCGAACTGGAACGTCCCAAAACGGCAGACGAAAGTCGTCTTCTCTTTGCAGTTTTCAGCCATCCGGACTTGCCAATACCCCGAGAACAAGTCAAGCGTTGTGAAGACCGAGCTCCCCTCAAAATCATCGAAGATCTCCTCGATCTTTGGCAAGGGCCAACGATCGGCTTTCATTTTGCGATTGAGGGTGCGGTAATCTACACAGAACCTGGGTTTTCCGTTTTTCTTCGATGCGATAACGATAGGAAAGGACCAGGCCGAAATGGAGGGGGTTATTATTCCCGCCTCCAACATCTTACGAAGCTCCTCACGTACCACTTCATTGTGGCGTGGCGGAAGCCTACGTGCAGGGTGAGTAATGGGGCTTGGATCTTCTAGCTCAAACGAGTGAGACACCGGAACATCTGCCGGTCTTAAATCGTCGAGTGACCAAGCTACGATCCCTGAGTTCTGGATAGAATTCACAATGCTCTCCCTGGCCTCGAAAGCCAGGTGGCGCAATTTCTCCCCGAGAAGGGCTACTTGAAGCCGTTCCGGGCCTTCTTCGTCTACTCTGCCATCTCCTTTCGCGTTTTCCGAGTCGGACTTTAGGCCCTCTTTCACTAGATCAGGAAGACCATCCAATTCATCTTCGACTCCATCCAGTAGCTTGGTGAGTCCTAAATCAGGTTCAAATGGTGGCTAGCCAAGAGTCGCCAAGACAAATTCATTGTCGCTTGTCGTAGACGAGCCAGGTACAGTCTCAGAGTCGGAGGTGAAATCCTCACTATCAGTTGAGGCTGCACTCCGTGAAACGTGTTCCACATCCATGTTGAGGCCTAGTCTGGTGGTATTCTCACCTACTGTCATCTGCACATGTTGCTTACCAAGATCGATGCATGCCTGTAGTCCCTCAAGGGTCGGAAGCTCTATGATCAGGTCGAACGGCGATCCTTTCACGACTAAGAAGTCCAACTTCACGATAAGTTCACCAAACGATTTTGGTATCTGATGAAGCGATCTCAGGCAGGGCGCATTAGCACCATCTGCCACCGTGATATGCTTCTCAGTCGGTTGCGGGGAGAGGCAAAGCTTAGACGCCAACTTTGGCGAGATTATGTTCGGTACGGCCCCAGAATCTAACAGGGCTTGAGCTTCCGTCCCATAAACCTTCACAGTTACCAGCCGCAGCCTTCGAGACTTCGTATCGGCGTGAACTGCGAAAGCACGACCACGGACTCTTTGTTTCGCAAACAAGCGGCCTATCTCCTTCTTCGCCACTTCCGCATCGCCGCGAACAAGCTGTCCGAAAGTGAGTCCGGAAGATGCGTTTGCAAGCTCCGAAACGACATTATACATCCTCACATACTCCTGGAGGGATGTTTTTCTGGTCACTTTCTTCGCTTTCATCCTCTGGTGGGACCTCCTTGGCCCCGCCTGAAGTGGCAGAGCCCTCTTTTGCATCTCGAATGGTACAGACGGGTTCAGAAGCCTGGGAATGGACACCTCCTCCCGCGTTTTGTGCTGCTTGGGAAGAGGTTCGCCGTCTGCGTTTCTCTTAGTGACGGCCACGACTTCCCTGTCGTTCGCCTCGCCAATATAGGTGACCTGGGCATTCCCTGCACCTTCTATCGCAGATGCTGTGGACTGCGTCGTGGCTCCTGCCCTCGGCAGTGTCGTTCTAAGACTGGTCCAGCACGTTTCCTTTTCATGACCAAGCTTCCCACAATTCGAACAACGAGTGTCTCGGCGCGGATTAGAAGGGCATCGGCTGGCTCCATGCCCCGGTTCCTTGCAGAATGAGCAGGTTCGGACCTGTCCACCTTGATCTGCTGTCTGATTCTTCTTTACCAACAAAGAAAGTTCTGCTAGCCGTTCTGCTAGCACGTCCACTTTCTTTTTGATCTTGTCCGGCTCCTGGCGTGTTTCCGGTCTCTGTAGAATGCGCGTAGGCGCCGGAGGCTGATGTTGCCTATCATTGTGTGCAGCCATAAAGGCTTTGCGGCCAGACACGAAGTCCTTAACGGCCTTCTTGAGCTCCCCGTACGAGGTAGGTGCCCTATACAAGACGAACTGTGACACGTCGGTGTGCTCCATGACCGCGTTCCGGAGTAGTCTGAACTTGGCTTCGGGGTTGAAAGCTGCTTTATCGAAGCGACGATCTTTTGCGTTTAACGAAGCGAGCACGTCGTTGCCGTCCAACCTACTCGCGACTGCGAGCCTGATGTTTTCTTCCGGTTCAGGGACTGATTCGAAACGGTCGAGCAATGCCTTCTTGACGGCTTGGTAGTTGCTGGCGGCCTCGTTCAGTCCACCGTCTTGGCT